AAACATTCGTTAACACATTTCCGAAAATTCAATATATATTAGTTTCGAAAAAGATGCTTTTCCCTTGATAATGATGCTAGGGCATATCAGTTGCTTGAAGCAGTTAATTTGGTACTCTGAAAAGCTTTGATGACGCAGTTAAAGAGCAATGCTGGCAAACTTGTTAGCCGTATGACAAATTAGCTTAGCTAACACGATTAACTTAGCTCAAAATCGCTCTGTGCAACAGTAAGGATACAACTGCGTTAAGGTGAAGGAACATGATGCTGCTTTAAAAAACATTATTATTGTTATAGTTGTTACAATTATTATAATTATAACTATTATTAATGTTATTGTTAGCAATATTGTTGTTAGATTTATTTAGATATCCAACAATATAACTTATACAGTTTTATTTTTAACTTTTGCTCTCTTTTTATTCCTTTTTTTTTTTGTAAATATGCTTGTTATGCCCACAATCGTCTTGCTGGCGAAGTACAGTTGTGGTGCTGAATGGGAATGTATACAAATTAATGGATTGAAACGGACTGAAACACTCCCGTTTAATTTTATCATTCTTATTTTAACTCTTTTTCCAAATTCTTTTCTTTTAAAATAAATCAGTTTCTTCCAAAATCGTTGAATTTTTCAGCGATAGCATCGAGTGAAAAGAGACTTTTAAATCTTCATCACGGTGAAGAAGCCAAGTTTAGGATTCCCTGGTCAATACTTGGGCTTGATGCTGCTGCCCGTCCCGGTCCATGATGAAGGATTTCACATCAGCTCCGTGCGACATTCCCCCCAGTCCCTCTTGGCGGTTCGAGGGCAAACTGGTGACGACAGTAACGGCTCGTATAAAATAGCATTTTCGCATGAGCGCTCTTTGAATTGCATCAATTAGGGGCAGCAGCAGCATGCCGTTCACGTGCGAAGCACACTCACCGGGCGGTGCCAGTGCCTATAAACACAGGCTGCCCTGGGCACTGAGATGCATTTGCAGTCGGGATCCCCTCATTTGCACGGACATTTACTCACTGCGCACATATGCTCGAGAATCTGTTTGTCCGTTTTTCGTGCAGCAGGGAATGTTGCGAATTTCTATCAAAGTGTGTATGTGTGTGTGTTGTATATGTACGTATTTTTGTTAGTGTATTGTATGTGTGTATGTATGTATGTTGTGTCTGTGTTGTGTCTGTGTGTGTGTTGTGTCCGTGTGTGTGTGTTGTGTCTGTGTGTTTTGTGTCTGTGTGTGTTGTGTCTGTGTGTGTGTTGTATCTGTGTGTGTGTTGTTTCTGTGTGTGTTGTGTCTGTGTGTGTGTGTATTGTGTCTGTGTGTGTGTGTTGCGTCTGTGTATGTATTGTGTCTCTGTGTGTGTTGTGTCCGTGTGTGTGTTGTGTCTGTGTGTGTTGTGTCTGTGTGTGTTGTGTCTGTGTGTGTTGTGTCTGTGTGTGTTGTGTCTTTGTGTGTGTGTGTTATGTCTGTGTGTATTGTATACGTGTTGTATGTGTGTATATATTGTGCATGTGTTGTATTTGCGTTATGCCTGTGTGTTGTGATGTGTGTGTATGTCTACGTACGCGTATGTTTTTCGTGTGTGTGTCGGTGCATGTTTGTATATTTGTGTGTGGTTTTATGGAAGTATGTGTTTTACGTATGTGTGTACATGAGTGTGTATGTTGCGCATATGCATGGGTGTGTTTGTGCATTTGTATATTTACGTTTATCTGCGTATACACACATGTGCATACATATGTGTATGTGTGTGTACGTGTATGTGTGTATATATATATATGTGTGTGTGTTTGTGCCAGAAGTGAATGCCTTTTCGAAAACGCAAAAAGGTGCAGTAAAATCCAGCTGTTCGGTTTAAAATTAGCGTTCATCAAAATGGTTGGGACCAGGATCCACATTTTCGCCCATCGAAACATCAGTTTCAGTGCTGCCCGCAACTATGCTTCTCTGGTCAGTAGCAAGAGGATCTGTGGTCAGTCAGCACTGTACTTTTGCTACAGCTGGCCCTATTTTGTCCGCATACTCCTTGGTTCCTAGTGCTACATCATCTGTCCGTTTAACCACCCTCTTACTCTTTCAGTATTCCTCGGTCCCTTCACTTCTCGAGTTTCGCAGTCCCGCATTTTTTGCGGTTTCAGCTACACAGCTAATTTCAGTTTTTGAAAAAACACTTTTCTGGATATATGGCGCCGGTATCATTCAGTGTAAATCCTGAATATGCACAGATTACTGAAATTGTACCGGGCCTGTGCATATGTGGCGTGAGCTCGCTGACACCCGTGAACATCGAGAAGTACAACATATCGCTAATCATCAATGCAACAAATGAGGTCGTTATGTTTGGAATTCATTGTGGAGAAAACTGCTGTGCTGCAGGAAGGACTTTCCGGCGCTGCTTCCTAGCTTGAATGTCTGTGGTCAGAAAATTTTATAGGGGGAAACCGTTTTTATCACGCTGCCCGTAATTTTTGGAAATGGTGGAACATGAAGGGAAGAGTGGGAAATTTACAACAGTTCCTATATAATAATAGCTGTTGTCTCAAGTGGCGTACCTTCTCGCGATCTCCCCGCGTTCGCTGTACACGAAGTTGTAATTTACCTGACGGTGGTTTCAGCGTTTGTGTCCTTCGTTTTTCTAGAAAAAATGAGTTTACTCATACGGCGACGTAAAAAAGTAACAGTTCCTTTTGCAAGGAAGAAGTAGTAGCTAACACAGTAATAATGACAGTTTGTACAGAGAAGTAGTGATACTTCTTATCTGTAATTATCGCTCTTTGTTCCAGTTTTTTCTAAAATTGTCAGATCAACCTATATCTTTTATTTCCTCCCTTGCACGTGTGACGTCTTTTCTAACTCAGCAATAATTTCCTTTGAGGTCCTCAATATGCGTACTGCTGAAAAATCGTAGAAAAGCTTGCTGGAGTGCGAAGCTTTGAGTGCAACAATACGGGGATCGCACAAGGACAGCAGTTTTTACTATTCATTAAGGATTTACGGTTTAAAAAGTTTGGCTCAAAAAAATCTCGTGAAAATCCGGGATTTTAGGTACCCAACATACGAGCCCTCGGCAGTATTCCACGGATCAAACTGTGGCTTGAAGATACTCCACAAGCATCAATCTACGCAGAGCTTGTTTTGCAGGCCGAGCAAGTACAGTTTTTTTTTTGCCATCGTTTGTACATTTATTTGTTGATTTTTTCTGAGTGGCTGTTAGGGGAGAATGGGAAACTGTGCGTCAAATTCGAATCACATCTAGCAAAATTTTTTCTTTTTTTTCCAGTCAATTTTTTATCTAAAATTAGCGCTTTTCAGCGGAGTTTCGGATCCATAAACACAGGGAGAGTGTGCTTAACCGGATTTGTTTTCATTCAGCTGTTTTAGTTCAGCATTCCACTTAAATTTTCATCCTATTTTAAAATTTTTAACGATTCTTAGCCAATCATTGGCGACGTGTACCGGGTGGGCCCATGCGATCATGTGTTTTTGCAGTACTTCGTGCTGTAATGAGATCGCTCGGGAACCCAGTTAGAATGTGTGATATGTTGGTCATCGAAGTTCGGAAAGTTAATTGTCTACGTGCATTCCTTTAAAATTACAGCCTTCCAGCTTTTCTGGTTTTCGGACTAGCAGTTTTCCTGCCAAAAAATTTTATGGGTCCATACGTGAGAACCACATGTATCTGAAACTAAATATGATGTCTTTAACTTTGCAGTGGCTGGAAACAGAACCCTAAAATTTCAGCCCCCCAGCTTTCCTGGATCCCAATCTAGCGATTTTCCCGCTAGGAAACTTCACGGGACTATACGTGAGAACAACGCATGCCTGCGGGCTTAATATGGAATCTTTGAGTTCTATATGGACGGAGAAACAACCTCAAAATTTCAGCTTTATAGCTTTTCTGTTTCTCGAGTTAGCAATTTTCCCGTTAAAACTTTCACCCTCTGTACGTGGGGCCTAGGCGTGCGTGGGGATTGGTACCACGTTCCCGGAGTGGCACTTGGGCGAGAAGCCCACTCGCAAAATTTTTGCGCCGGAGCTTGCTTAGGTGCCGAATTGAAATACCCGGACAGACGCACACATACGCGCGCACACACATGCGCACATACACGCACGCACACACACACACACACACACACACACACACACACACAAAACGGGGTCGTCACAGTGTGCGTTTTTGCATATATGTAAATTGCAAAAACGCATATTGGAAAGAGGCTGTGTGTGTGTGTGTGT